TCACTGAAGACAAATTCCTTGTATATATTTTATACTTGGTCATTAAAGTATTTTGTATTTGTAAAGCAATTGATCCATTCTGTTAAGAAGCTTAATAGAGATATATTCAGAAGTTTGCAATATAGATCTCTGCTCCATATTATTTATCCTCTAACTCCCTCTAGTGTCCAACCTTCAAGGTCTCTTTATTGTAAAAAAAAAAGCCAAAACAGTCTCCTTATCATAAAAAAGCCAAAACAGTCACCATCTTCTCATGAGAAAATATCTTCTAATTAATTCAAAACTATAAGTCCAAATCTCTCTGGCCCCTTAATCCATTGTTACCTTCTAATATCCATATACCAAGGGCTGTTTTGCTGCATAGTCCAAAAAATCATAGATTTTCAAAATTTTTAAAATCAAATTTACACCACCTTCCCTAAGGAGGAAGAAACTCACCTGATGAATATAGTAAAACCTTGCCAGTCTGAAGGGTCTTAATCTCTCCAGTAAACAGAAAAAAAATTAATAATCCAAAACAGTGATTAAAAATGAGACTTGGTCAAGTTTAATGTCCATAAAAGGCTGCTTTGTGAGTGTGAGCTTGATGTAATCCTGACTCCCAGCCACTCCACTCATAAGCCAACTGCAGAATGGCAGTTTCTGCAGCCTAGTCATGAGTGGCAGCTGTCCAGAGCCACGTGGATAATCTCAACGATTTCTCATTCTTCCAGAGAAATTTTGCTGGTCTGGATCCAGCATCCAACTGCAATTTCCCTCGCAAACCTGTTGTGCTAACAAGCAGGACGTCAGCTCATCATGGCGCTTGCAGGAAGTTGTCTCACAAAGATCTCCATTAACAATTATTTGTGCTTTCTGTGAAGTGTAAATCTATCTTACTCATTTTATAAAATTCTCTCCAAAGTTCATATCTTCTAAAACTTTAAACAAGAAAGCCCAGTTCAAATTGTCAAAGGCCTTTTCTGCATCTAAGAAAATCAATGCGGCTTGTTTTTCATTATGTTGCTCCAAATATTCCAAAATGTCAACATATTTCTAAGATTGTCCTTTAACTCTTTTAGGTAAAAACCCACATTGATCCTCGTGAATAAATTCTTGCAAAATTATGTTTAGCTTTTTAGTGAAAGCACTGTGAAGTTTTACAAAATAATGTCAAGAGTGATGATATTTCCATTCTTCTCAAATTATCTAATGTTCAGAATGATCAGTACTTTTATCTCATAGTCCTGGCGACTTATAAATATTTCTCTTTACAAATATTATTTTATAGGTACTAGTAAAATATATTATTTTCTGAACATGTATTTTTAATATGGTCTGAACATCTTTGCAAGCCTCATAAGGTAAGGAGAAAATTGTGTGTGTTAGTATTATATGTTTTTTAATAATATATGTCTAAATATTTATAGGTACAAAAACTATTACGTGAAAGATTCTGTCACCTGAATCCAAATGGAAAGTTATTTGGACTTGAGCATCAGTATAAGTAAGCAAAAAGACCTTTTCGTTTGTTTTTGAGAGTTTCATAATGAATGTCCTGGGATTTGAACTTTATAGCCTTCAGAGATCTGTCCTTCCGAAAATTAGGTTGGATGTAGAGTTTCACAATGCAGATCGCTGCAAATGTGATACTGCTGTGTAGAGAAGAGGGACGTGATTTACCTATTTTCTCTTCCTATAGCCCTCTATGGCTTTTTCTAATGTAGGATATGTTGCTGGGGTTGAAGGAGAAGAAAATAAGCAAAAATGCTCTTCTGCTCACTAAAATATCCAATTACCAGAATGGAAAGCCTCCTTTAGATTTAATTCATTTTTGCAACCAGAAGGATTCTCCCATTTCTGATAAGTAGTTCTGAATCTAATTATATTGCCTTGTAAATTCTCAAAGACACACTAAAAAGATAAAACATAAAAAAGGAACATTCCTGGTGGCACTTGTTCAAGACATCAGGTGAAAACTTTGCTTTTCTTGAATTATCACAACAGTTCTCATTGTGCTGTCTCAGTCTAATAGAACACTTCACTTGTTAGAGTGGAAAGGAACACCATTCCAAGAGGTTCAGACATGAAAGAGAACCTAAATCTGAACTGCCAATCAAACTAAACTGAATTGTCAATCTAGGTAAGAGATAGCCAAAGCCTGGAAAAATCAAACATTGAGCAACCAATGAGAAGCAAGGTTTCTCAGGTGGATTTTTTTACAAAAGGTGGGGGCCAGCTCCATCTTCCTTTGCCTTTGTGTATTTTGGATGAGGCAAAGTAAGAAGAAACCTCAGTCCACAGGAACCTTAGTTGGGGATCAGTAAATTTTACAGCTAGCTAGGGGCCAGTGCAACTTGATGCAGTGAGTGAGTGAGTGAGTGAGTGAGTGAGTGAGTGAGTGAAAGAAAGAAAGAAAGAAAGAAAGAAAGAAAGAAAGAAAGAAAGAGAAAGCGAGCGAGCACACAGCTGACAGAAATCAGTCTTTTTCAATATAGTTGTTCAGTTCTTTTTGTTATCCTACCTCTTTCTGCCTGGAGAGGCTATGGAAGGAAATCCAGGAAGGAGATTATTACTATTCTAGAAAGGATTTTCTCTGAAATAAAGTAGCTAGTGGCAGCACTACTAAATAGTCTTTCCCCAGGAGTTGTGGATGGCTGCAGTAGGCTTGGGATGCAGTGTTTGGAGATTCCCATATGAAAGTCAGAGATCCCACTCTGCCAGTTCCCAACCCAAGTGGTCTGATTATACCTTATAAATTAATATCCATTTTGATTAATGTTCAGCCTTTCTATTAGAGAGATGCTGAAGAAGCAAGGTTTACTGGTTAAGGTGTTAGGAGGAGTAAGATGAAATGACATCAAGGGCTCTCTGAAACTGGTTTCTCAAAATGATTTGATGCTCTTGATCAAGAAGACCAGTAAGACCCATGGTCTCCCAATCACCCACTGATTCCCAAAAACTTAGTGGCACTCTGCTAGGTCATTAACAGCCTGGTCAAGACCACAGCATTCATGGCCAACATCAGTTTAAACTTACTGCAACTCTCAGCACAGTTGTAGCTGCAAGTATTGCCATATATGGACATCTGTGGCTCAATACCTGGAACTTAATTGCTGTTCCAAGTAATTCTGCTGCTTCCTAGGTAGTTGTCTTACCTAGGAGGACAGCTCCTTGGCAGCTTTTTCTTCTAATGCTGCACTGAGTGACACATGCACAGGAGCAACGTCATCCTTATTCTTTCCTTTTAAGTGCTATTAGCTTAGGCTGAAGCTTTCTTTAGCAGACCTGGATCAAGTATTGCATTATTTGAAAGCTTATTCAGTGAGTAGCTGCCATTTTATTAAGAACCCTTTTGTCAGACCCAGCTAAGGATATTCTCTGTCTACAATTGGAAAAAGAAGCTTTTTTCCACTCTGGATAGATGGTATATAGCTATTCTCCTTCCCAGTGACTATGAGTTTTTATTCTTTTCGGTTATTAGTACTGTGTCAACCATATGGTGAATATGAGTTATAATCTTGCCATATGATGGGAAATCATGTTGATATATTTAGTAGCTTTATTGGGAATTTTCAAGTATTTCTTGGCTGAAATTTAGTTATTTGGGTATTTATATGCTTTAAAATAGTTGAATGGTAATTTGTTTTTCAGCTGAGATGAACTTTGGTGTCTGAAAATTTCCCAAGTTATGCCCTTGTCTGAAGTTGAAATGTATGTCTTTCTTTTCCCATAGGCATTTACTTGAGCTGTTAAAACATACTGCTATTAATGGTGAAAGCAATTCTGTACTTATTATTGGACCACGGGGGTCAGGAAAGACTCTGGTAGTACTTTTAAATGTGTTTATGTTTTGTATATTAGATAATTGTCATTTCGTTATTCAGAGTATTTAACTTTATTAAGCCTTAGCTTTCCCTCCTTATAATTATAAGTTGAGTGATGTAACTACTGATAGAATAGTGTTCATTTGCAGAATGGATTCTTTCATCACATTTTACCTTTCCCCCCCCCTGAAGACTCCTCCAAACTTGCTACAGTGACTCTCAGAGATAGATGTGAGAGGCATACGAAGAAGAGTCTGAGCAGAAGGCAATTGGTGAAATATTGGATGAAATGCTTATTCTTTAAAACTGATAGCTCTTTGCCTCACCTGCTTTTATTTACTCTTAGGCATTCACATTTCACTTTTACGTGTATAAGCAAATTCTTACAAGATGGCTTACAAACATTTCAAAATAAGATAATAAAAAAATTCACCAAAGCTACTTTTCCCCCCAAAGCAGATGAGTGGTGGTGAAAGAACCCTTTAGAATTATCCATAATCCTGTAGTACTGTAACCTATAATGCAATTAGAGCTTATAACTCCTGTAATAAGTAAAGAAATTAAACAAACGGCACACAAAACAGTGTATTGTGTCATGTCTTTATTAACAAATAGAGCTAACGTTCTACTGTTTTTGTTCACAAAGGGCTCCAAAACTTTCACCAGTGTACATAGATATTATTGATATGAGTATGGAATTTTCATTTTCAGTGGATATTACTGTAGCAAATATTGTGGTTTCCTCTGATTTCTTCATATGTCCTTTTTCTGTCAAGCCATCAATATTTCAGGTGTCATGCTTTACAACACTCTACTAAATATGCTACATGATAGGTATACTTTTAAAATGGGCTTTTATTGAGAACCAGGAATAAATTTTACTCTAAATATGTGGAGGTATCAAAAAAAAAGTATTTGGATTCCATGCAAGATTCTTCAAAGGGAAGGAAGAGAGGATATTTTTCCAGATTCCTGTCGTTTATCTCTGTGTACCCTTTCCTATTCTGTTTTCCAACTATCTGAAGTAGACTTCAAGTTGCGGAACTTCAGTGGGAAGGGAATTTAAAAGAGAATATTGTATTTACAGACCCCAAACATCTGGTCTTCAAAGCAATGTGTGTGATAATTGCTTCCCTTTTTCCTGCAGTAGGTGCCTATGATGAATTTCAGTCCTTTCATGGAACTAAAGGAACCTCCCATTTGTAAAAGAATCAGGGATCTAACCAAAAGGCAATAATAATTATCTTTATTGCTAAATAGTGCCAAAAAACCTTAATTGTTTCTAAATACTGATAGTATGTAATGTATAGTATCCATATACAACTCTGTTTTACTATAAATGATGAATTATTTAATGTTTTTCTAGTTAATTTGTCACGTCTTAAAAAAACTTCTGGAAATAAAGCAAGTAAGAGATAACGTCTTGCAGGTTCATTTAAATGGTAAGTAATATTTTTGATTATTAAACTTAGTTTTCTGGAAGATCTAATTGTGCCTAAAAATTTAGACACTGCGTTAAGTAGTAAGAAAGAAGTATTGCTACTGCCATCTATGGTAGCAGGGATAGAATAATACATAAAGCTTTCTAACTGCCATTTCAGAGTAGGATAGCTTTATGAAAAGTATGATTAGTTAACTGAACTAGTTGCTTTAGAGGCAACATTTTTGACATCTAAATCAAGACTTGCAGCTCTCTAAATGTTGCTGAAATATAATTCCCAGTAGCTTCAACCAATAGAGTCAGTAGTGAGGGATGCTAGAATGGGCAGTTGAAACCTACAGTTTGTACCATTCTGTTTGAACACTGCTTTAGAGTATTGGGAAAATGCTTTACACTTAGGTGCAATTATTTCATGTGGTGCTTTCCTCTAAGCTGGATCTAAACATGTAGAAGAAGCATGCAAACCCAATTCTTGTCAGTGCAATTCTGAATTTTACTTTGCCTGTTGCACATAACTTGTTTTTTCTCTGTTTGAAGATAGTGTGTATCAAGCTGATAAGGATAAATAAAGCACAGAGAAAATAATGTATTTTCTCTTATCTTACAGGGTTATTACAGACCAGTGATAGAATTGCTTTGAAGGAGATTACAAGACAGCTAAATCTGGAGAATGTGGTTGGAGATAAAGTTTTTGTAAGTAAAACAATAAGTTATATTTAGAATTGCATATAGCCCTATATTGCAGTATGAATACTAGAATAATGTACTAGGTTACTTTTAATATAATTATAATTTTGATATTGCTTGCATAATAAGTTAGCTATTGGTTCTAATTTTGGATAAGGGGACAAAATAAATAGAAATAAGAGTGTGTCTTACCTGAATCAACCAAGAATTAAATAGATGACTATTAAGGTCAAAAAGCATATTCAGCAATACATGTAGGATATGGAAGACAGCTTTTGTAGATGTTTTAAATAAGTATTTGAATAATTCTAACATTTTAATGTCATACAACAAACACCAACACATGAAAATATTGAAAACTGAAAAACCAAGATTGTCAAGAATTCAGAAAATGTAAGGGGTGGCATATGTTAAAGTGGGGAGCTATTGTACGCTGAACATTTTAAATGAAGTCAGTTTGCATCCAAGTTTGAATTTTGCCACCTAGACCAGTCCTTTATGATTTTGCTTTCTGGTGAAGCTCAACTCCCTTGTTTGGCCTTTACTACTTAAGTTGATGACTATCTGTACTATCTTGACTACTTACCTTATTTTTTTTTATATCTCAAAGTCAAGACAGAAAATTAAGTGAAATTATTTTCTGTCTTAACTTTGAGATATAAAAAATAAGGTAAGTAATCAAGGTAGTATAGGTAGTCCTTGACTTATGACCACAATTGGGACTGGAATTTCCATTGCTAAGTGATGTGGTCGTTAACTGAGAATTGCAGGTTGTTAAGTGAGTATCCACCCCAATCCAAGCCATTCTGGGCTTGGTCCCTCCAAGGTAAGGGACTGCCTTCAATTCACCCCACCCACCTACCTCCCCCCCATCTCTGTCCTTCTGGCTGCCCTGCACTCTGCCTTGCAGGGCAGCAAGCAGCCCCAGAACTGCATGACTGGGGCTGTTTGCCATGTCCTGGGAAGCTGCAGCTGCCCCAGCCCAGCCCCAGCTGCAGTCACCCATGGCACCCTGCACTTTGAGACCCCTGCCACCCTATGCTCCGCCGCCCCATCTTTGCTATCTTGCTCCCACTGCTGATGAGGCGTGCCTGGCCTGGTTGCTGGGCCGGGCTGGGGCTGGGCCTCGCACTGCCAACCCCCACCCCAAAAAACAGAATCAGCCCCTTTACAAAGAGCTCCAGGGCAGGGCTTTGTGCTGCAAAGCAGACAAACAAAAAAAGAGCCAAAAGCAGCCCATGAGCCACAGTGTGCCAAAAAGCCCTTTTGCCTTTGCTGCTTTCGGCTTTTTTTTTTTTTGGAACGCAAAGCCCCATTCTGCCAAGGAGCTCTTTGCAAAGAGGCTGCTTTTGGTTTTTTGGTTTTTTTGCAGCACGAAGCCCAGCCCCAACCTAGTCCAGCAACCAGGCTGGGCATGCCTTGTCAGCAGCAAGAGCAAGAAGACGGCGAAGATCAGCTGGCGCAGCGGAGCAGAGGACGGCAGGGAGCTGAAAGGGCATAGATGGTGGGGAGATAGGTGGGGGGGAGTTGAAGTGCCCCTGCAGTCATAAGTGCAGGCGGGCTGCCAAGCGCCTGAATTTTAATCGTGTGACCGTGGGGGTGCTTCAGTGGCTGTACCTTCGGGCAGGAGGCGTACGTCCCTTTGTTCAGCACTGTTGTAACTTCCAACAGTCACTGAACAAATGGCCATAAATCAAGGACTACCTGTAAGAAACCTTTGACATGACATGCAGATTGAAAAAATGCAAGAAATGTAATATCAAAAAAATGAATGTCAGATTTGTTGCACAGGTAGATGTTGACTCAAAAGCGCTTCACATATTATCTGGAGACTAAGAAAATGTTATGTATGTTGCCTTTGTGGATAATGCACGTACGTGTCTGTTGGGAGGGATGCAAGAAAAGGGAAAGATAGGTCGATATTTCAAACACAGAGGTAGAACTGAAATCATGAATGTTTTAGTTATACAGTACTAGATTTCAAATGAAACAAAATCGAGGTAGGGTGAGTAGAGCAAAGCTGGTGTACATCGCCCCTCTCTCCCATCCTCTCTTAAGCAGCTCCCAGCACAACATATCTCACAACTCCCCCACCATCAATCACCAATGCTTCTCGACCCTCTCAGGCACTGCCACTATATTCTAATGCAGGATATTCAACCAGCCTGGCTGCCCCCTAGACTTCCCCTCCCTCTCCGCAACAGGCTCAGATGCTGATGTCCTAGGGTGCCATATCTTACCAATTAGATAAGCCCACCCCCACCCCCCAATCCAGGGCTTATCTAATTGGTTCTATCTTGTTCATGATTGCTACATAGTTACATATATGACAGGTAAGCAACCCCTCCTTTCTGCTTTGTCTGGCAAAGCTGACTTTCCTACGCAGTCTGAAAGGAAAGCCTGGAGCATGTCTGACATTGGACACTGCATGTGTAGGCAAAGGCAGAGCCCTGATAAGATTGCACTCAGGGCTTTGCAGATAAAAGGGGAAAATGTTAATTGATGCCTTAGCTCTAATTGTATTAAAAATACAGGAGCTTGAGTGTTTATTGAAGGATAATCTAAGTGGGTATCACATGGCACTATTAAAAAAAAAGGAAGAAAAGATAATGAAGAAAAAAATTCTCTAAGAGCTCATACTTCCATCATCCATGCTCAAGAATGATATCAAACTGTTACTCCTTATGTCTTCATTTGTCTAAGTAAATAACCAGGAGCATTTTAAAAAGCTTTTTATTATGAAGAAATGCCATCTTGCTCAAAGGAAATTCTTTGTGGAGTCCTTGGTGCTCTCTGAGCTTGGTTGTTTGCTTGCAGATGTTTCATTATCCGACTAGGTAACATTATCAGTGCTAGTGAGTGTGGGGTTTGTTCCCTGTTTATATGCAGTAGCTTGCCCTGCCAGTGCTGGGGGTGTATGGTTTTCTCCTTAGTTGAAACCAAGGAGAAACCTTTGTAGAAAGCAAGAAGAAACCTTGGTATAAACCAGGGAGAAAACCACATCCCCACCAACACTGGCAGGGCAAGCTACTGTATATAAACAGGGAGCAAACCCCACACTCGCTTGCACTGATGATGTTACCTAGTCGGGTAAAGAAACATCTGCAAGCAAACAACCACAAAATTTGAGAATCAGTCTTATTGAAAGAATACATCTTTTTCAAAGAGGTGTTGATAAAATTCTGATTCTGTACAACTTGGATATTTCTCATTTTGAAGAGCTAAAATTATGGATGATTGTCAGAAACAGTTGTTGTTATTAATATTATCAATATTATTTAAGTTTATATGCCACTCAATTCTGTGTGGTTTAGATATTTAGATAATACCCTGCCGCAGCTATTAAAGTCCTTGGCTTTTTCCCTGCTCTCTTCCCATGCCTCTTCATCTCAGAACAAAACATCCAAAAACATGCGCTTTAGTTTGGGTATCTGTGAACAGAATGGTTTGTGTGCAGAACATTTTGCACATCCCTAATGTCTCTCATATCTAAAAAGGAATTTCAAATGTTCTTGAAACTGAAGCAAGAGAAGTCATTTTTTTTAAAGCAAAAGAAAACAAAATGATGCATGAATCGATAGTGCATTCTTTGCTTCATAATAATGGCTAAAATATGAAGAGAGCTTAGGAATTCCAAAGAATGTGTTAGCCGTAATAGTTTTGCTGCTCTGTAGCAGAAACGGCAGCTATTATCATATTGTAAACTTCCAAAAAATGTAATTTGGTATTCAAAAGTTTGAAGTAAAGCAGATTTCTAGATAGCAGTTAAAATATTGCAATTTTTCATATTTAAGGTTTTAATATACTAATTATAACTTATTTTTTAGGGTAGTTTTGCAGAAAATCTTGCATTTCTTCTGGAAGCATTAAAGAGAGGTAAGCTTATTTCCTTGATAGTTAATAGCATAGAATATACGGTTTACTCTGTCACTGAAAATTATAGAATTTACTGAGGTGAGGAGAAATTAGATTGCAGCTGGATGAAAAAAATACTAGGAAAAATTTACATAAATGATTAACATTTTCTGTGAGCTAAAACTGAAGACCTTCTGAGTCTTCAAATAAATAACATGCACATTCAGATTTCACAAATATAAATATGCTCTTTGGTTTACTGAGGGTAAAGGTTTGCACAAGGCTTTGCCAACAATATTGCTCAGATTCACTGAAGTCTTGACTTTTCATGGAGGAAACCGGGGTGACATCTTGCCATCATCATCATCTTTATTTCGGTCATTGACCAATAAAAATAGATATAATAAAACAGACAACAATATTACCCCTTTCATCAATAACTACTAGCAACCATTTGTGGGCG